CGTTGCCGAGATGCTATGGGCCTTGTGTGAAGTGTGCAGATGAACTTGGTACTCGTTGGGATACGGCCCGAGGGGGCGTGTTGAGGAAACGGTCCTCTCCCAACTCGTGTGGTTGTCGACCAGGGGATTTGACCCCGGGTCTGCGCCTGACTAATGGGGAAGACTTACCCCAGAACTTTATGGGGCTACCGATGCATATCCGGTAGCTAAGTGATAGACATTAGGGCACCGTCTGGACGGCGCAGTGAGATCGCGGAATGTACGTGCAGTTAGATCGCGGAATGTACGAGTTTTCCGCTAGCGCCGGTATTTAGGGCGGTGACTGCGCCTATTAGTTTATCTCACAACGATCGGTATTCCTACCAGGAATCTCCTCAAGTCCTGCCGAACGCTAACAATACTCTTTACATTACTTGTAACAGTTTATCGTGCTAAATATCTTCGCCACCGGCAATCCTTCCGGAATAACAATCAGCGTTAGCCGTCACCGTCGCCAATTCTTCAATACTGGGTACCTAGTTCCCGCCATTTCCACATCAGGCTGATTGATTCCTTGCCCATTCGCACTGCTGGAAGGTCCAGCCCCAGCCGGCGCCCCCTCGCCACCCAAGTGCGGCGATCCCTCGCCGACGGTGCTACCTGGTATCCCTTCGCCAGCCCTAGGCAGCGATCCCTCACCAGGCAAACTAGTGCGAAAATCCTCCTCCTCGTCGGCATCGGACTCATAATCGGAGTCCCCGGCATTACGCCGCCGGCCGACATGAGATTCATCGAAACGAACGTTAGAAACTACGGCAATAATGCCGTCCTCGTATAGTACACGATACTGTCCACCGTTCCCGTATCCGACAAGTATTCCACGCCTGCTCACCGGGTCGAACTTGTCACGCTTGACGTCGGGTACGTGGACGTAGGCAACGCATCCAAAGACTCGCAGGTGACTGACGTTCGGACGAACGTTAAAGAAAGCTTCGTACGGAGTGACGGTTGACCCAGCAGTTGGCGACACATTCCTAAGATAGTTGGCTGTCGCTAACGCCTCCGCCCATAATGATTTAGGCAGTCCAGACTCAACTAGCATAGCCCTAGTCTTGTCCAAAAGAGTGCGATTTAAACGTTCTGCAGCTCCGTTCTGCTCAGGGGTGTAGCCTACCGTAGTTCCGTGTAGAATACCCCTGGAAGCGAAATAGGCCTTCGTGCGAGTATTAACGAACTCCCCGCCACGATCTGTACGCACCTCCTTAACCTGCCTGCCAGTGGCGCGGTCCAGTTCCGCTATCATTACCACCATCTTCTGGTAGACCTCCTCCTTGGTCGCTGTAAACGCAACAGCTGAAAGACCAGTATGGTCGTCAAGCAGGGTTGTCACGTAACGCGAACCACTAGGCGAAGGTTCAGGCATAGGCCCACACACATCCATGTGAATGAGCACGAGAGGCTGCGCTGCCTTATGCCCAGATAACGGAAAAGGACCACGTGTATGTTTAGCAAGGACGCAAGTCTCACACACACACGTGCTGGCTGATTGTATGCTGTGTCGGTCAACATCAAATCCAGCTACCATATTATGACGCAGCAACGTCTCAAGGTTGCTGTATCCCAAGTGGCCATACCTTCGGTGCCAAAGTGCTGCACGTTCAGCTCCGATACCCACGGCAGCACACACTGCATCACCACCAGAAGGTATCCTGTTGTCTTCACGCTGCGTCCTCTTCAGAGCTCCCGTACCTCCACTGCTGTAGCAGACGGGATACAAGTCTCCATCCCGCTTTCCAGTCAGCACCAACTGGTTCTGTACGTATACTTTCGCCTGTCCGCCGCCGAAGACCACACTGCCTCCACGATCATCAATGATGCGTACCGATATGATTTTGGCGGTGGCCTCCTCGTCGACTTAGAGCTTCTTGAAAGTGATGGCCTGTTTATCGTTGACGTTAGACCGAATCGTAAGCGTGCCAACTTCAGTCGGTCGAAGAGATTGTCCCTTGATGCCCATGATGTTGAAGCGCTCCCACGGCTCCAACAACCGCACGTTGAAAAATTCTGAGCGGTCATACGTTATGTGGTGAGTGGCGGCTGAGTCCAGAAACCATTCCGTCGGACGATTGCTGTTGTATGCCACGAATGCTACCTGCCGCGGAACTCCTGGCCCCCTAGCTGATCCACCGGATCCTGGCTTGCTGCCGCTAGCTCCGCTGCCACTACCTCCGTTACCACTGTTGCTGTAGCCACCCTTGTAGCCAGAATTTGACGACTGCTTCAGCGCCTTAAGCTGCCTGCAGTCCTTAACCACGTGCCCAGGCTTATTACAGTTGTAGCAGATGAGCTGTTTCCGACTGTGTCCCGAGCTGTTGTTAGCCGGCCCCCGGCTACCATAACCAGAAGTAGAAGCGCCGAACGTCGAACCGCCGACAGACGTGAAGGCTGCCGACTCGGTAGGCTTGCCCGACCCACCGTTAGCCGTCTCGATAGAGAGAAGCTTTGCTGTGACGCTCGCCATGTCCAAATCGCCGTCGCGCATTAGTAATGTAGTCGTCACCACGCTGTACCGACTGGGTAGACCGACTAGGACGGTGTACGCCAGCTCGGAGTGTTGGAAATGACCGACACTCATATACCAGTGAATGGTAGCCACAGTAATAGGACCCAACGGGGGTCCGGCGCTTTGCTGGTCTTAACAGGTTATGAGCCCCGAATGGCGCATTGCGCTGCCGAGAGGTCGCCGGATCGATACCCACTGGCTGTTGACCAGAGAATGGGAGACCGGGATGAGGCACGGGAAGGCCCGTAGCGAGAGAGTGTCGCTCACGGGGGGGTGTTGGAAATGACCGACACTCATATACCAGTGAATGGTAGCCACAGTAATAGGACCCAACGGGGGTCCGGCGCTTTGCTGGTCTTAACACGGAGTCGTTAACTACGTGGCCGACTCCCAATAAATCTGTTTGCAGCTGCCTTGCACGCGCAAAGTACATCGGAAGAGGTTCGCCGTCGACCATCTTAAAACGGCTGAATTCTTGACGTAGAGACACCTTGCGGGCGTTGTTGTTGGCAGCAAACATAGATCCCAAGGCGTCCCAGGCCTTCTTCGCGTTGGCAGCACCGGTAACCATCGGCAAATGATGATCCTTGACGTTCTTGATGAGCAGATTGATGACCTTCCGTGATTGTCGAATCTGCTCCTCGTTGCACGGCTCGGCGAGCAGGGATTGCTCAAGCCCAAGCTCCATGCACATCGCGCTAAACCTGATTTGCCAGGTGGAGTAGTTGTGGAGGTCCAGCGGCTCATCAAGCTTATCCTTGACCATTGTCGATAAGGGATAGAAATAACAATCGGACGATAGCTGTCGGCGCTACTCGGGGCTCATAACCTATTGAAGAATTGGCGACGGTGACGGCTAACGCTGATTGTTATTCCGGAAGGATTGCCGGTGGTGAAGATATTTAGCACGATAAACTGTTACAAGTAATGTAAAGAGTATTATTAGCGTTCGGCAGGACTTGAGGAGATTCCTATGAGGAATACCGATCGTAGTGAGAAACAAATAAGCGCAGTCACCGCCCTAAATACCGGCGCTAGCGGAAAACTCGTACATTCCGCAATCTCACTGCGCCGTCCTGACGGTGCCCTAATGTCTATCACTTAGCATCTAGATATGCATCGGTAGCCCCATAACGTTCTGGGGTAAGTTTTCCCCACTATATGCGGAGACCCGGGGTCATATCCCCTGGTCGCCAATCTCACGAGTTGGGAAAGGACCGTTTCCTCAACAGGTATCCAGTGAGAGAGTGCGTAAACACCCTGGCGAGTGGTGGCGAAACGAGCCTGGTCGCACTGTTACTGGTCGAGTTAATGCTGCTTTCTCTGCTGTTATTCCTGAACCTAATTCGTTTGCGGAAGCCATTGCAAGTCCACAAGCAGACGACTGGCGGCGTGCGATGGACGACGAGATCGCCGCCCAGATGGC